TTTTGCGGAAGGCAGACACGGTGTAGCGTGTTAAGTTTACACAGCAATTCATGTGTAGACGAAAAACACAGATGGCCTCGTGTAAAACGAACGTTTCGACGTGTCCGCTATGGGACAACGGTTTACACGTCTGGGCGTGTTATTTTTGCTAACAGTGTAGCGTCGCGTTGCTAAGGCCAGCAGCCATGTTGAGCTTTTTTTTTTTCAAAAGGATCGCGATTGGTCCACGGAATCGTGACGTCATGAAAACGATTGGCTGGCGTTTCTCGGCGTAGGATTACGTTTTCCTCTGAGAGGCATTTCCGGTTTTTTCTTAGCTTGCAACCGACTATAGTCATATATTACAACAAAGTCGTCGTCAGCTCTGTACCCATTTGGAGTCTCCTTCACAGGCGAACAGGAAATTTCATTTGCAGCTTATGTTCACGGCGGCTTCACAAAGGATGGTCGGTGTTGCAGCGTACCTTCACATAATATTTTCTTCTCGTAATGCCATCCGTATCGTGCAGAAACAGGGAAAGCAACCACGCAAGCGAGACACAAACACCACAAGGTCGTTACCGCGGTTTTCGCCATGTTTGTTTTTAAAGACCGTAGCGAAAGACTTCGAGAAAAAAAGCTGAGATATCTTAGCTAAATTTACTTTACGTCATAATTATTGAAATAATCTTTCGTATTTTATAAAAGGATAATATTATTTTTCTCTGTTTCCTTTCATTTTCCGGAAGGTAGCCTTTTCTCCGTTATTCGCTCGTTCTAAGTCCCGGAGGAAAGGAAGAAGATAACAAAAAGAACAGAGGGAAATGCAGGGATTTCTTCGCCCCAACTGGATGGACACGTCACCGCGACGTAGGGCATCGTCAGATTCTAGCTGACCACGTGCGTGAACCCGAACGTTGGGGTGGAGCCTCAAACAAGAATCATTCTAGTTTGAGGCTCCGCCCCTTCTTTCTCGATACGTCACAACTCGAAAGGTGCCCGTTTGCGACCAGAATAGCACCCCTGGTGTGCGCTAGCTCACTCGACCGTCTGGGCCACCGATTTCTAAAATGTTGGCCAGTAGTGGCCTGTAGTGCCATCATCTTTAGAAAGACTGGCTAGTCCTCCGTCCACTGTCCCCGTCGGCGGCTGGTGCGGAAAGAAGGCACGTGGCGGCGCTGCGAGCAACCGGCGTGCTAGATTTTAGCAGTTACCAAGCCAAAAAAGAAATCTATATAAACTACGACAGACACAAACAAATGAGGACTTCGCAGAGGAATTATTTACACCTCCTCGCCTTCAGAAGCCTTCGCCGTTCTCGCCTTGCTGCCCTCTCGTTGTTCATTGCTTTGGTGTAAAGACGGAAAAGGAAGAGGATGAAGAATTTGAGTGTTTTTGTTGTTATCGCCACAGTATGCACCTTACAGCCTAACAAAGGTTAATCCGTCCTTGCTAAGAACGCAGAGAAGTCAACAATGCTTTTTAGGGAAGCCATGTCCGTCCGCCGTCGGGTGCACGTGCTCCTGCTCGTGAGCTCACGTGCTCACGAGCACGTGAGTACGTGCTCCCGTGCTCGTGTAGGAAAAAAAAAACAACAACAAAACAACCGCATCTCCACGTGGTGAACGAGGTTGATTGGGGCGAAGCTCTGGTGGTGCTTGTCTGCGTAGACGGTGAGCCGCAGCATGCCGAGCTAGAGCCACTAAATGAGCTGCGCTTAGAGTATCGGCACTCCGTTCCCCGACATTGTTGTGGGCGCCGCCATTTTGGCTCGTATGCAGAGCAGACACAACTGCCGATCGTCCTGATTCATAAGGGAGGCTTCCTCAGCATTAGAGTTGGTGTTAGGAAGGTCATCTAAGATTGCTTTGCTCTGTCGCGAACTGTTTAAACATTTGTAGAGGGCGGAGAAGCGTTTCCTGTGATTTCAGATAAAGCTTCAGATAACTGGCAACCATGATTTTAAGACACAATATGGCGAAGTGTCGTTACTCTGATGCGTAGCTTATTTAGTGGCACTATGCCGAGCCTTTCGTTCGTTTTCATCCATGTCAGAAAGAGAATGTGTGGTATGGAACGTGGTTATATATATATATATACGCATTTGAGCATTTGACCGCAGCGTGACATGGATGAAAACGAACGAAAGGCTCGGCATGCTGCGGCTCAGCGTCTACGCAGTCAAGCACCACCAGACCTTCGCCCCAATCAACATCATTCACCAAGTGGAGATGCGGTTGTTTTTTGTTTTTTTTTCTTCCTCATTAAAGGGACACTGACAGGGTATCTGCGCTCGCCAAGGTTTTTATTTGTACGTGACACATGAAATCCCAACTATACAGAACACAATTTGGGGCTCAAAATTAGTTTTCTTTCCGCCCTAAAACCGCCGATCGAGAAATGGCGGGTTTGAGTCGCGCTCACTCTCTTCCCCATGGTCGCATGCGGTTCTCTATGGTTTAGACAGCCACACCAAATATAATCAAAGTCGTGGGACATCGAAGGCCCACACTCAATATTAAAAATATAAAAAGAAATATGATACCCATTTTATGTGGCTTCTAAAACTGCAAATAATTTGATTAAAAAAAAAAAAAATTTAAAAACTTGCACAGGAGACCGGCAGCACTGCGCATTTTCCGCGTAATTCGTAACTTGGCGTCATGTCACGGGTAGTCGAGGGCTGGCGGCGGACGACCGGGCGTGGCTTCTCGTTTCCGCAAAACAACACTTCTGAAGTATACTTCAGAAGTGTTGTTTTGCAGAAACGGGCGAGTCTGTCTAGATTCAAAAGAGAAATCGTTTAGCGATCAAAATAAATTAGGATTTATTCCGTACGACACGCCCGGCCACCAAGCTGATTAGCACGAAGACATCGCCGAGTCGTCGTCCCTTCTCCTAGCAGAAAACATCACTCGTCTTACAAACACGAACTGGTAAGATCTTAAAAAATGCGCACACGTCAAGCGCAAAGTGCTTGATTTTTGCGTCAAACACTTTTCGATATTTCACATCGATATTCCGATTCACTGCGGAGTAGAAAGAAAAGAATAAGAATTATGACTAAGGTTCGCGTCAAGCACAAAAGCAGGTTTGCTGTTCCTATTAGGTATTGGATAAGTCATAAATGAATAAAACTTAGTTTGAGGTCATGATACTGTGGATACTCATTAGGGCATATCACTGATCTCTATGACTATTTGCTGGATTGCGTTTGCCCACTCCGCGAATGCGGCCACGGTCGGCCATCTTTTTCGGTAGTTATATTATCTCTAGCCACACCATAAATGGTGGTGCAATCTAGCGCCCGTTAGATAGGGTACACGTTTTCCACCCAGAGCTGAAGGGTCGCGGGGCGACTTTGAGGAAACCTTGGGAACAAATAAATAGTTTTCACCGAACGCACCTCTGCGCGTCAGGATAGCCACAAAACGCTGAATACTTAATGGTAAGTTCTTGTATTTTCGTGATCGGGGAGATTTCAAGAGCGCGTTGCACAACATGACGGCATAGTCGACCTCCCTCTGTCGCATCCACTGAGTTTCAAGAATCTGCTTTGTCGAGCGAATTAAAATTAACAGTTGGGCTAGTTGGTTAAACATCTTAATTACAAAAGCGCAAAGGACAAGGACAGGACAAAGAATGAACAGGACAAGCGCTTACTAACAACTGATTGTTTAATGCATGATAAGAGAAAGATGAAAATGAGAGGAGATTTAATAAATTAAAATGCCAATTGTATTCCGACGTAAAATGATTAAAAATTATTTGGCAAATTCCTGACAAACTTAAAAAACTGTGTCTAAAGATCAACTCCCAGAACGAAAGATAAGAACACTGCTCAGTCCAGCACGCACATAAATATATCAACTGCAACGTCAACATCGTTTACGAAATTCCGTGCACATGTGGGAGAGTGTACGTCGGTCAATCTGAGCGCTGCGTAAATGTGCGACTACGAGAGCATGAGCTTTTCCTACATGCGCCACCATCAGGACACTTGGCCATACATGCCAGAGACCGTAAATGCACTCCTCTATTCAATCAAGCGCAAGTGCTCAAACGCTTTCGGAGCAAGAGAGCCAGAGAAATTTTCGAGGCAAAAACTATAATCGAAAATGGAGACACGTGCACTAGCACATCATCAATTTCACTGTCCGAGAAAGAGATAGGGTACCTCAACCTTTTTTTTCTTAATCTGGGTACTTTTCTTTATTTTTATTTTTCTATCAGTCCCAATTTTTCTCAAATAATTTTTAATCATTTTACGTCGGAATACAATTGGCATTTTAATTAATTAAATCTTTTCTCATTTTCATCTTTCTCTTATCATTCATTAAACAATCAGTTGTTAGTAAGCGCTTGTCCTGTTCATTCTTTGTCCTGTCCTTGTCCTTTGCGCTTTTGTAATTAAGATCGTCGAGCGACTTCAATCAAGCACGAAATATCACCGTGCAGTGCACTAGACCCACGGCTATTTTTATGGCAGCCTGCCGCAACAGCCCTGTCCGCCATATTACCCCCATGATGGCTAGAGATAATATAACTCTACCAAAAATATCGCCGCCCGTGACCACAATCCTGTGCCGTTGCCTGCGCATAGGCGGAGCTGGGCAAACGCGATCCAGCATATAGTCATAGAGATCAGTGGAGGGCACGGTGGAAGAAACAATGTTTCTTCCACCGTGGTGGGGGGTATTCACTGGACGCCATACTTGAGTGTGGTCTTCACTGTGGATGCTCAGAATTGTCGCTAATTCCGTAGCTCTACTCAGAACAAGCTCACGCCTATACGTTGCCAGGTCCAGCAATCTTGGTGGTGCGGATTGCACGTTGCAAAGGAACGATGCTTGCCGTCAGCACGCGCTCAGCAGCTACGGACTCAGCTATGGCCGTGAGTGAATACTTCCAACAATTCCGTCTGGTCAACATATTTGTGTCCTGCTGGATAAATAGCGTGGGGAGAGAATTTCAATTGTTCTTATATCTAATTGTTTATGTCCCTAGGCACGGGCGTCGCACAATTCAGATGGGCGTTTGGTGAGTACCACCCTATGTCGTTTTTGAGTGCGCCCAACGACCGCAATGACTGCCGCGTTTTCAAACACCGAACAGAACCACAAGCACTCGAGCGGGAAGAGGGCTACGAACCAATTTATTAGAAGAGTAGTGGCATCAATTCAGGGGGCTGAGACTCGGAAGCTCGTGGCGGCATTCCGTGAAACCCAGAGCGCATTCGTCCCTCAGGCGCTCAGCGAACCGATCTTCCACGCGAAGGTCGTGGTTTGAGCGTCCCCCGTTTGCAGCTTGCCAGAGGCCGGGTCTTCCGCCTTGGCTTCCTCAGGTTTGGAGACAGACTCGGTGTGCGACGCCATCTCCTCTGCCTGCTGGCCCGTTGGATCCATCGGCTCGGTGCCCCGGAGGCCCGCGACACCCTCGACGACTTTGGCCACATCGTCGCTAGACTTGGGCTTAGTCAGTTCGCTGAGAGGCGGCTCGACGTCCGCTTCTCCAGATGGCCTGGACGCCTCCTTGGAAGACGCCCTCACGGGCTCCTGGACCTTGAGGCCTTCGTCGCCCAACTCTTGCTTGCTGCCGGGCTTGTTCGTACCCTGTTTCGTCTGGACGGGGGTCTCGGTAGACACGTCCATTGCTGCTCGGGGCGCTGGTTTCTGGTGCACCGAGAGTTCGCGTCCGGTTTCCAGATCGGGCAGCAATGGAACTGTCGGCTGCAAGCACGAGTGTGGAAGCACGGGCGTCGCGAGACAGGCGTGCCGATAGAAACTGCCGTGCCTTCTCTTTTTCTAATCTGTGTTGCCGCTGTCAGAGCTGGCTGCTTAAAATCATCCATCCAGTTATTTGAAGCTTTATCAGAAATCACAGAAAATTATTACTGTCCTCCACAAATGCTACAACAGTCCGCGACAGAACAGCCTTATATTGTACGAGTTTCCTGACACCGCAGGGGCGTAGCAAGTTGGGGGGGGGGGGGGGGGGGGGGGAATGCTTATGGGGCTTCAAGCCCCCCCCCCCCCCCTTTCCCGAAATCCAGCCGACCACATAATATACAGCAAAGTGGAAAGTTGGGCCAGTTGGTTCATGGTTCTTTAAATAATAAAAGCGCCGAAAAAGACATGGACAAGGAAGTGGAACGACACAAGGCGCGCCCGCAACTGTTCGTCGCTGTTCTCTCTCGTCGCTGCACTCGCAACTGTTCGTCGTCGCTAGACTTGGGACACGCTGATGACTAAAAAAAGACCGTGTGGCCGGTGCCATCTTTAGTGTTTGTGCGTATGGCGCATGCATTCCTCGCTTTCCGAAGCGACGAGCACGCACGTGCTGGGCTGTGAAGATCGCACGCTGGACTGTAATTTTGTAAACATTGGAGAGGTCTATAAATGCGTGTACTTTTCAAAATAAAACAACAGTTGCAAGTGCGCCTTGTGTCGTTCCACTTCTTTGTCCTTGTCTTTTTCGGCGCTTTTAATTATTTAAAGAACCTATAATATACACATGCATTTTTGCCCTCCCTCCCCCTCTCCGCACCCAAAGTCATAAACATCCCCGCCACCTCAGCCCCCCCCCCCCCCCTTCTCCCCCCCCCCCTCCAAATAGACTATTCCGGAAATGTATGGCACGCCATGATCTACTTCAGGCGTTATGACGACCGGATCATGACCTCTGTGACGTTTGGCGCGCAAATCTCTCCTCCAGCCCTTCCAAGCGCTCGTCTATACAGCAGAAGGAGCGTTTAGCATAGGGTGCCTTCATGTGCGCTTTGCTTAGGGTGAAGATATCTGGCCATTTTGTCTCACACTTTTATTTTTATTTTTTGTTCAGAAGCGCGAGAAAGAACGTGTCCCTGCACGCGCTCGTGGCGCTGACTGTGCTACGGCGACATTTTGTTTTCGTCGATTTCTTTGTATTTTACCCGTGAGCGCGTGCTGTCGGCATCGGGTACTACAAAGGGTGGCATCACCCTTAACAGAAGGACATTGAGGCACCCTAGTTTAGCACAGCTTCTCCAAAGATATATAAGGAGATATTGATACAGAGCCAGCATTACAACTAAAGACCCTTGGTAAAGGTGTTTATAGGGCGCCTTCATGTGCGCTTTGCTTAGGGTGGAGGCATCTGGCCATTTTGTCTCACATTTTTATTTTTATTTTTTGTTCAGAAGCGCGTGAAAGAACGTGTCCCTGCACGCGCTCGTGGCGCCGACTGTGCTACGGCGACATTTTGTTTTCGTCGATTTCTTTGTATTTTACCCGTGAGCGCGTGCTGTCGGCATAGGGTACTACAAAGGGTGGCATCACCCTAAACAGAAGAACATTGAGGCACCCTAGGTGTTTATTGCGACTACCGCCAAGGAGATAAAGACTGACGTGGCTATTCCGAGCTTCGTCGCTTTCGCATCTTTGAAAAGAAAATCGGCATCAACCGACGTCGAAACTACCGTTCCGGGACTCCGACGACCCAAAGCGAAGAAAGGAATCACAGGGAGCCCCAGGCCGGGAGAGATCTCGACACCCGGGCCCACCGATTCAAATGACACCCGGGCGAGGCTTAGCTCACCCGAGCTACGCCTAGGCATGATGTCCGCCTCGGCTCCGATCGCACCTGAGGTGAGTACCTCGCCCCCGACGCCGCAGTCACAAATCGATTCAATGGAAACGAATGAAGTGGTACCGCAAACGGCCGGACCAAGTGTATCGGCAACGTGCTCGACTCCCCAAGCTAGGAACACAGCGTCGGCCCAAAAGAAACCTACCGAAATGTACAAGGTGAACATCCGGCCTCGGGAGCAAATGGACTTTTATCAAGTGACGACGCGGGAGATTGAAACAGCAATCTTTGCAGTCATCTCCGCCACTGCCTACCAAGGGCTAAATCGTCACAAGCCATCGAATTCTGCCACGGCATACGTCTCCACGCTAGAGGACGCCTTCCAGCTAACAAAGTTATTGACTGTTCAACAGCAGGGTAATCGAGCCGTGCAGGTGCAAGCGTATCTAGCTTCAGGTCCGAACGTCCATCGGTGTGTAGTGAGAGGCGTTGTACCCGACCACCCTGATCAAGATATTGTACCTGATCTCCGTACACCATCTCACAGAATTCTGGCGGCTCGCCGACTAGGCAAGGGAGACACATACCTCCTAACCGTTCAAGGTGAGCAGCAAATACCTGAAATCATCTATCACCTCGGGGCGATCCTGCGCCCACGAGAATACAAGCCATTTACGGTTATCTGCTACCGTTGCTGCCAACCAGGACACATGAAGGCCTTCTGTCCTGTACAAACTGTGAACCCTGAATTGGTCAACGCTGACGGCAGCGCGCGCTACCAGTGTGGCTTATGCCGCACTAACGATCACTCAATTGCCTCACCAAAGTGTCCAAGAAAGAAGAAGCTGGCGGATGTTAAATCCCGTAAGACTGACAAGCCCGCTCCTCATACCGGCAAAGCATCGATTTTGACGAAAAATCGATTCCAAGCCCTAGCCGAAGAAGGGGAAGAGGAGGAAAGTGATCACACGGTATCATCAAACGACGGCCTTGAGGCACTACAACCCTCGTACGCAGCGATTGTCAAGGCCACTAGGAAACTTCAGCAACCGCCACGAAAGACAGCCACATCTCAACATTCGTCTCAAGATCTACATAGAGCTTCGCAAGAATCCAGCAGCTGTCATCAACCCAGGGGTGCAAAGAACATGCCGTCTCGTACCCCACGGCGTGGTCAGGAGGCCCGGTCACCCTCAGCGGCAGAAAATGTCAACATTGATGATGTAACCGGTCACTTGCTGTCCGTGGCCAAAGCACTGGACACACTTACAAGTCAAATCGCTGCAATGCAATCCTCCCTAGATGCCGTTCTTATGATCCTGCAGCGATGGATGAGTCGACAGTAGAGTGTCGTCCAGCCCCTCCGCTCCACATATTACAGTGGAATTGTCGTAGTAGCCGTCAAACGTTTGGGGAACTACGCACTAGAATATTGTATCGTCTGCTCAATCCATGGCTCATCCTTGTACAAGAACATTTGGAACTCATTCGTATCCCCACGTACTGCGGCTGCCATTCACCGTCCATTACTGATGCCCGGCATTTAACGACCTCCGACTCCGAGCCCTCTAGGCCCGGCAAAGCGGCTATCTATATCAAAGATCATCTTCAGCACGCCCCAATAGACCTATCAAAATGGTGCACCTCCCGCCAGGAGGTAGTGGCTGTCCTCGTCCGGACACGCTACAATTGTGTTGTGACAGTCTCTTTTTACGGAAAACCTGGAAACGTCCATCATAATCTCGGGTGGCTTGAACACATTCTCTCGCTCCATCCCAACATACCTATTATCGTGGGTGGCGACTTCAATGCCCCCAACACGAAGTGGGGGTACAAGCAGGATTCCCCCCGAGGCCGTCAAGTATACGATCGCTTCACCGATCGAGGATTCCATCTTCTCAACTTGCCGGGTCCCACTCGTCTAGGGAACCCGTCCAACGCTCCGGACCTCACCTGGTGGCGTGGGACTGGCAATCCGGCATGGAGGACTGAAGACGACACTTGGGGAAGCGACCATTTTCCGATCATTATCAAATGGTTCCCAACGGCATATAACCGCCTCCGGAAGCAAGTTCAGGTAACCGATTGGGATAAACTTCGATCATCGCTTAACATCATGGCGCAGAACCCAGAAACAGTTCAGAGAGACATCAAAGAAGCCATGGTAGACTGCACCACGACTACCACGGTGCACTGTGATCAACCAACACCTGATCCCCACCTCCTCCGCCTGTGGCAACAGCGACTTGAAGCGGTCACATTGGCAGCCTTACACTCCGACGACCACCAACTTCAGGATGAGGCTTCCCACGTGGCAGCTAAGGCACGCCGCCACGAGAAACGACTTACACGCCAACGCTGGCTTGACTGGTGTGCCTCGTTGAGTAACCCGAAGCACCCTGAGGCTCTTTGGCGGACCTTTCACGCTATGGAACGACCTCGCCAAGCTGAAGGCCGGACTGGCAACATTCAGTTGCGTCTGGGGCTCACCGACGATGAGTTTGCGGCGCGCGCGGCGGATACCTTTTTCCCTCGACATGCCAGCCCGTCGGTCCCGCGCCCTGTCACGGCTATGCCTGACACTACTGGCATCACTACGCCCTTCACTCTGGCTGAGCTCCAAGACGCCATCGAGAGTGCTAGTCGCCGCTCTGCTCCAGGACATGACGGTCTCCCGTACGAAGTGTACAAGAACCTCGAGGGAGAGGCAGTCACAGATTTGCTAGCTATCATCAATAAGATCTGGGAAGCCGGCGAGCTCCCCACATCATGGAAACACTCGATTGTAGTGCCGATTCCCAAACCGGGCAAGGCACCGACCGGCCTCACAGCTCTGCGGCCTATATCACTGACTCCCACCATCTTCAAAATCTATGAGCGTATGATGGCTAAACGTATCTCTTGGTGGCTGGAGTTCCACTGTCTCTATCACCCCAACCAAATTGGATTCCGGCAACATCTCGGAACGGAAGATGGCCTCGACGGCCTTGCAAAGGAAGTCCTACATCTGTCACCCTATAGCCACTTGGTTCGCACACTTGTATCTACTGACATATCAAAGGCCTATGACAATATCGCTCACGCCCCACTGTTGGAGGCAATGGTGGTCCTCGGCCTCCCACCTCGTGTCATAAATGCTGTCCACGCCTTCATTACCGACAGAACTTTCGCCGTCCGTCTATCATATGGCGAGTCGTCCAATTTCCTATCGAACTGTGGCGTGCCCCAAGGCTCAGTACTTGCACCACTCCTATTTAGCATTGCATTCCTTCCCCTGGCCTGGGCTCTCGCTGATATACAACACCTTCGTTATTTAATTTACGCTGATGATGTCACAATGTGGTCAGTTCACCCATCCCTAGAGGTGCAACAAAATGCCTTACAGGCCGGGCTGAATAAACTAGACTGCCATACAAAGACTTTTGGCCTGACGGTGTCTCCCGAGAAATCGCAATTCCTTCATGTGTGCAACAACGCTGCCCGGAAGAAACTGCCATTGACTCCCATGCCCCTCAGAATAGGGTCGACACAGCTTCCGATGGTTACACAAGCCAAGATCTTGGGACTCCTCATCCACCAGTCTGGCTCAGCCAAGCAGTGGCTTCAAGCGGCACGCAAGACGGCGGCGTCTACAACACACCTCATCCGACGCATCTCGAAACGATGTGGCGGAGCGGGGACTGAGGTAGCCCAACGTCTGGTTAAATGCGTCCTTCAACCTCGATTGATCTACCAAGCTCAGTTCCAGCGTCTCACTGCATCTCAGTGAAAGAGTATTGAAATCATCAATAGGGACGCAATTCGCGGCATGACTGGTCTCCCTCGGCATACTCCTACCTGGCACCTGTACGAGTATGCGCAACTGAACACTATTGAACAACTTGTCAATCAACGAAGAGAAGCTCGCAATCTGAAACATACCATCACTCCTTTGCACGAGGAACCTCCCCGCTGCTCTCCGTACGTTGGGGCTCCACCGCCACCATGGTACTACACTACAATTACTACCAACAAGCCTGCTACCGTCCGCACGCATCCGTCCGGCTCCGCGCCACCACGAGTAGAGCAGGTCGCGGCCCCGAGCTCGGATGAGTTCGCGATAGATGTCTACACCGACGGAGCAACGTGCCAACATGGCATCGCTACCGCAGTGCATTGTCCATCTCATCCTTCCATTGATACATCGGCGTTCTACGCCACACAGTTGGACGATCCGCTTATCGCCGAGTTATACGCGATTCGAGACGCCATACAAGCACTAACGCGGATGCCCGATGTCACTCGAGTACGCGTTCACACGGATTGTGCCTCTGCCATCCGACATCTCAAGTCAACGCGATCTTTACTACATATTTGCCATGAGATTCATGCCCTAAATCGTACATCTGCTAAAGAAGTCCGGATTCTCTGGACCCCTGGGCACCAGCACGGTACTCACCAGGACAAAGCCCACCAAATCGCTCGAGCCCTGATTGAACATCCCCCCTCTGATCCCACCCCCATTCCGGATGAGCCGGAGGCCTCACTCGTCGTGGGCAAGGCCCGCATAAGGGTCGCTACGCGTGCACTCATTCCCGCGTGCCCACATCCTCTCCCGGCGGGCCTACCCCGGCGGGAGGAGGTCCTCCTCGCAAGGATCCGGACGGGCTCCGCAGTCACCCCAGCAGTCTTGGCCTCCTGGGGCCGAGGCCCCCATGATGCCAGCCCGGCGTGCCCCTACTGCTCTGCCAGGGCGTCCGCAGTTGGACTCCGACACATTCTCTGGAATTGCCCAAATCTTCAGCACCGCCTCCTTCCCCTGACTCAGGCACGAGACCTCAACCTAGCATCCCCTGAGGACTACTACAAATGGACCAGAGTGAACGCGCATGCCGGAGCCCTTTTGGGCTTTATACGGGATGCACACATAGCGCACCTAATCTAAACTCTCAAGCTTTGCTTGTTCCACGTTTAAAAAAAAAAAAAAAAAAAAAAAAAAAAAAGCTACCGCCAACCATTGTTGTGGAAACGCGCAAAACACGTGCCACGAGCGGGTACTCCGCCGCCATTCGCTTTCATGGGCCGCTCATTTCAGTGATGCGCAGCCATTTGCTTCCAAGGGCCGCTCGACACAAGGGCCTCGTGCACTGGAGCATTTGGCTCTACTTGCAAGACAAACGCAAACACATCGAGGGGCTTCAGCCTATTAGCGATGTGCGCGACGAAAAGCATCGCTGCGGTGTCAATTTTGGATTGAGCAAACACACACCGACGTTTTACAGCGGAGCTGTTAAGGGCTAGTTTCCCCAGGATTGTGTCCCCCGCAAAGAAATAAAGGCACCGAACTCTGGACACCTACCGCCATCTATGAGCGACGGCGGCAAGCCACGTATCTGGTTGCCGCCGTCGCTCATAAATGGCGGCACCCTTTCCACTCTGGCTTGCCAACTTGCGGCCGGCCATTACTTTCTATTGTAGCTCATCTGGTCTTCCTTCTTCCCCTGAGTGGAAAGGCTGAAAGTTTTTGTCAAGACTCATTTTTCTTCCGTAGATGGAAATCAGTGCATTGATCGAATGCGAACTATGAAGATATTGGTTTAAGGATGCGATTACTCTTATAGCTTCCATTATTATACTTACATATACCATCGAACTTGTTCGCCACTGATGATAAGTAGTCAAAGATTACGACTCATAACGTCACGGCGAGTAAAATTCTCGTCGTGCCTTTACGAACAGAACCCACAATAGCGTAGAGTAATATTGTGTAACGCAGAGGCCGTATACATTGAGAGTTTGGCCATTCATTGGGAGGCAAATGAGAAGGTGCCATTGACCGAAAGTGAGCTGTGTGTGTTCCACGGAGTCTTCACAAATTCGAATGTGGCCAAGCAGAAGCCGCAAATTATACCCTGGAGGTGGTCGCGAGAAACAAAATTCATAACTGCCTCGGAGTAACTCTCAGTGACTAAAACGTGTTGTTTCGATCACGGTCATTAAAAATCGTCGATATAGAAAATATAAAACAAGCGCGCGCGGCTAGCAGATATCAACAGGATCCGTACGCCTGGTGCCGAGGTTCTGGCATTTGCCGTCTGAGCATTCAGACTCCGTATGAGCAAAATAAATTTCGAGCGGTACATTCGCTTCTTAGATCTTTTTGTATGATCGTAACCGAAACCTTACGTGCACCATATTTTCAACCATGAAGAATTACTTACTATATTTAACTTTTACTCGTATATTAAAACTGTTTCTCGCTACCACCACTAGGGGATTATGTTCGGCTTCTGGTTGGCCAAGAGAGCATGTCCAGCCCTTTATTTGCGTCTGATACGCACCCTGGGTCTGCTCGCACCCCCCATATATAGACGAAATTATCTCTATATATGGCTCTGGTATCACGTAAAGAGTGGCAACGACCATATAGGCCCCTGCGGCTCACTTGAAAAAGCAAATCGGGTTGTGTGTATGTTTTCGTTGCACCGGAGAGCGTTGAAAACCCTCGCCTCCGACCGTCGTATTGCCTGATCGGACGTCGGATCGGACGGTTTCGTCGTACATATGTTTCGCGCTTAACGCATGGATTAGCTCACAACGTAAATATTACGCTAAATGATATTTTTTGTCGCTTTTTTTTTTTTTGAAGAAACTTAGTGTTTTTACATACTTGTTATATTCCGGCACTTTAAACAAAATTTGTTTTTGTGGGAGTTCAATGTTCCTTTAAATGAGGTGCGTGTGCTGGCAGTACGTCTCTGCGAGGGGAAAGTTACCGAGAGGGTGAAGTCGATCCAACCTACTTGGAACAAGTAACAAACATGGGTATCGCATTTTACGATGATTCTCTATGAAAGTGTGACGAACGGCGCATTGGTTTTGAGAAACGCTTGACGCAAATGACTGCCTCAATTGAAGGCTTCTAAAATATGCATAACCCCGAAATGCTCTGTTACAAGAAAGAAAAAAGATGAACCTTTTCCAGCCTAAAAAGAAAACTATTCTCTTAAACAATTATCTCAATTGTCTGAAAAAAAAAAAAAAAATACTGCGTTGAGAACAAAGATTACATGACCATCTCCGATTTGTTTTTGTGTCTATACGTTAAAGCAACTGTCTCAGCGACTCTTAATAGGGTGTTTTCACACAGCCATGAGAAATGCCCAACTAGCTGGGTGCCCGTCTGTAGGAAAATTAGGCTTTTCACTTCTAATTTTTGGCAACATTGCGTTTAAATATTCGCAATAAATCAAAGGCACTAAGCCACTACACTTTCCTGGATAATTGCCGCATCCTAGGGTGCAAAAATGATTTTTAACATTCGTTGGAAAAGGGTTAGGTCGCTTCGGTCTATTTGACACACAGTGTACGTCACTGGACAGTGAAAGCGAAGATGGCAGGCTAAGGTAGCACTTTTTTGTGCCTCGAACCTAATGGCGGCTGAGCTTTGGTTGAACGAGAGCTCCTCCTATATTCACTGTAATATGGGAATCATTGATTGGGAGTGTTATTCATTATCTCCCTTAGTAAACTACTAAAAACCTACGATATCTTCTACACAAAACAAGCAAAAGCTAACACCCCCCCCTCCCCCCCCCCCCCCCCCCCACACACACACACACGCAGACACATTCAACCAAAAATTCGATTGCTTTTCTTTTTGTCTTACACGGGTATGGTATTGGCGGCAAACGGAAGTCTCAAAAGATGCGCCCGGAGCAGCCGGCGCGGCCCCAGCCGCCTGATTTCCAACCCGTCTGCTTCCGCATCCACCAGAGACCGCTGCCGTGCGGGACTCGCGGTAGAGAGCCTAGATTCTAGAGAGGGAACAACTCAAACCAAGGAGGACGTTTGCATTTTCATGGCGGACGCCTTCTGCGCGGATTGGGTGCACCGTGCAGGTGCGACTGAGTGCATCGTTGCGTGTCAAGAAATATTGCGGACGGAAAGGCGTCAGAAAGCCCAGAAACGCTTGCAGACGATCGACGCTTTCGCCCCCCCCCCCCCCCCCCCCCCCCCCCTTTGCAGCTCGTATTGCAAACACCTCACGTTAACCACGTGATCCCGATGGCTCGGTTAGAAACACTCCCGAATCAAGGCACACCACCTACGCCTAGCCGCTTGGCGCCGAGATCGAGCAGCGGCACGGAGCTTGGCGCGATGTTCCGTCGCTTTTTTGCGCTTGCGCTTTCCGCGTGCTTACATATGGGCCTCCCTTCTTCCTCGTCGTAGTGCAACTCACGCGGCGTTCCTCTCAAGCCACTCGCTGCGTTACCTCCGCGACCGAAGTAGTAGCTGGAGAGGGCAGACTGTCTTGGGTCTGTCGCTCTGCACAAGGCTTCTACTTTTTAGCTCAGCTTAGTTCAGGAATTGAGGCTTGTGATCGAACATTAGTTTTTGTGGACTTCCGTGTCAACTACTGCTCTCGCTGCTGCGGGAGTGACTGAACTCCCTCGAAGATGCTTTGCAGCTTTGCCTCAGTTATCCAACCGCTCTTGGTGATCGCTGCATCATTCTGTGAGTTGCAATTTTTCGTTTTTCTACGTTTGCGCGGACTTGAAGTTCTCGTGCGCTTGTCTATAATTACATGCGCGGAATGGGATTTTAACGAAAGCGCACCCGGTTTGTTTTAATGAGTGAAATTATCAATGTTGTCATCGTCGTCTTCGGGACGCGGATCTGTGTGAAGTTTTTGTTTTAGTTTTAATGTTATTTGTACCGTCTTCACTCTGAACGAATTCCTCGCATCCACACGTACACGCGCACATTATCGAGCGGCTTAGAGATAAAGAAAATCTAAACCAAGTTAATTATTAAATGGCCAGAAAGTGCGGCTAAAATCTCTGAAAACAAATTTTGTAGTTTTTTTTTTTTTTTTCATTTTGATTATTTTGGTTTTATCTCTGCAGTAATTGCCAATTTAAATGTGCTTATTCGTCATGAAACTAAAGTTTTTTTGCTGACTATAAAATACCCCGAAACGTAAAAATGACCCTGTTCATCACTATACAATTCGTGAAACGATATGCAACCGATTAGCGCTTTGCGTATAATCAGTGACTTTATATCTGTGTTCTAAATTTTGGGGAACACCGACTTTTCTCATTTTGCTAACGAGTTCCGCCAAAACAGTACACGAGGCTCTATCAAAAAATAAATAAATAAATAAATAAATAATAATAAAAAAGGCTTTTTAAAGGTCCTTATTTTTTTGCAGACATTTCCAACATATTGTTAATTAGAGTTTATTAGCGGACAACCGAGCGAGTTTTAAGTAAATTTCATGAAGCTTGACAGCGATTGTTTATTTTAATAACCTTGTAGGGTTTTACGGAATCGTATTTGCGTTCCTTCCTTGCAATGTAGCAGTGCTTTCGTGGTGGTTATTGGCATAAATGAAAAAAAAAATAGTGTATTGATACCTACTAATATTACTATTATCATTATTACAATTTTAGGTTAAAAACACCATTATATTGCTATTGAGCTCCTGTCCGTCGTGCTGAATTCCTTTGATAACTAAAAGAGAAGACGAGCATTTCAAATAAGCATACGGTGCGTTTTGATCAGATGGTACGTGGCTTTTTCTGAGTCAATAACGATCGAACAACGCAATCCCTCTTCTTGCTCAATATGTTATTCAAGGTGATATGAGATGCATGAGAGTTTATTGTGTTCGCAAAAGAAAACGCAAACAAACTTAACCATTCGGGTTAGGATGGTCCAAGGTCTCCATATTTATACTCTGCGTTAACTATTTTGTACTACATTGTCAAGTCTTGCAGAGTGCCGCAGCCCCTCACTACTGCAAGAGCACGCGGCATTATCTTGAGTCTCATTCTCATGCGCTCGTACAACCAGCTTTGACAGTTGGAGCGATTCCGAAGCTAGCCTTGACTGCGCAGGACAAAATAGTTGACGCGGAGTACTTACAATACAAACCTGAACAGCGCCCGGCCTCAGCGACTTACTACTACTAATGCTACTACTACTGCTACTAATAGTGATAGTCAGTGGCGTCACAAGGGGGGTGCGGGGGGGGGGGGGGGGGCGGATCGCCCCGGGTGCAGCGCTCAGGGGGGTGTCGCGGCGGGCCACGAGAGCGGGGGGTGTGGGAGGGGGGCAGGGGTATCGCGGCTGGGCTACCGCCCCGGGTGCCGCTGACCCTTGTGACGCCACTGGCGATAGTAGATAGTTGTTAGAGTAGTATTACTAGTAGTCGTAGTAGCCTGCTTTCCTGCCGTGCAGTTTCCGTCATTGACTGTGAACTGTTTTCGATTACTTTCATTTATACGAGGGATGATTAATCTTGGTCACTCCGCATATACCTCACTGGAACGAAGTTATCTTTGTCGTGGGCCTGGCTTTGCTTTTTCGAGGCAGCTGGCACGATCGAGACCAGAACCAGGCCCGGAGCAATCTGGAGGAAGCCCATGCGATCAATAAACGCCACTCCCATCCGGTCGCTCCTCTTTGCTCTTTAGATATTCCTTTATAGATTTATTTATCTATTTATTTATTTACACCCAAATAGCTCTTTCTAGCCTATCAAGCTTGGGGTTCGGTGACTATTTTATTTTTTGGTTGTTTCGGGTTTCCAACAACACGCTTAGTCAAAAGTATTTTTGTTTAATGCGAAAGCATTAACTATACGATGGGGCAAAGCCGGCGGCGTCTGCAACCGCAAAAAAACAACAACAAAAAACGCGAAATAAATGTCCTTCCATTGGCTGAGCAAAACGGCTCCTAGATAGTCATTGGCGGCCGCTTCGCGAGAGCGCGCGCTTGGCCGCTGCTCTTGTGTCAAGCGTTTTTGAAGGGAGGGGGGGGGAGGCTGCTGTGGCTTCACGAGAGCGCGACCTCGGCCCCCGGCCGCAACCTCGTCATAGCGAAACGTGGCCGTCCACGCCGGTTCACCGCAGACCAACTAAGGGAGCGGAAGGATGACATTCATGCTTTCGCATTCACAACTCATAAACAACTCTTAAACGCCCTCGGGATTTTTTTAAACTGTTTTGCGAGCTTATACGTTCGTTCGAGTTTAGTTTACAATTAGTAATACTCCGCAAAAAGCCGCACTTTTTTTTAAATTTTACTATGGTTCCTGAGGTGAAAACGAGTATAGTTGCTTTCTCTTTGAACTCGTAGTCAGTTGGATTGGACAGCCGCCGGAGTCAATACTTGCAAACTGTGCGGGTAGAAACTGAGGAAGGGGAGTAGATCACAGCGCGCGAGAGGTACGCCCGAGAGCCGAGCTCTAACTGGAATGCTTAGTGGCTAAATGCAAACCCAGCTGACTTTTCGTCTGTATAGCACTTTTCGAACGCGTTCGAGCGCGAACGCCGAAAGGCGGAGGCCGGCGTGTGGCGTTCGAACGCGTTCAGAGTGAGTAGAGACAAAGGTAAGCTAGCTTTGCGTCTACCCCCTAATCATTCCAGAGAGCTCGGCTCTCTCCCCGCGCGCCTTCGTGTCCTCCTCCTCCTCCATCTCTCTCTCGCTCTCTTTCTCCCTCTCTCTCTGTCAGTTTCTACCCACATGGAAGAGCACAGCTTTCGAGCGCTCCGAGAAACGATTCGATGGAGAATCGAAAAAATGCGGACCATCCGACGTTCGCTGGGAAACTGAGCACGCCGAATTACACGGTCACGCATGCCCTCTGTTCCAGCGCAGATTGAAGCAGTTTCCGGTGGCCCGCAATGACTATCCGTCCGACGCGCGGTCGTTTCTTAGAATGGTGCACACTGAAGCAACCGTCGATTGCGTGATCGCTACCCGCCGTTCATCCTATAGAGGCTGACAGTGCACCGGAAGCCGCGCAGTCGCCGGACCAACCAACCGGCCACCGCGTCCTTTTCCGTGGATATGGCCGGGAGGGTAATGATCGTGCAGCGAAAAATACACGTACGACTGGGAGAAAGGAGCACGTAGCTTCCAGCGTGCTGTCACCCTAAAGGGATGAACGGAGTACGGCGGACCGCCCAAAACTGTGACTGTGGGCTGTTACTGTCTTCCGTCCATTGTTATCCGGAGGAAAGAGAATCGAGCTCCGAAGCGCTGACAGGCGATGCTGACAGATGCCCGACTGTGCGGGTCGGGCATCTGTCGAATGGCCTCCTTCCATTCGACAAATGGCGAATGTCGCGAGGGTACTGTTTTGCCTCTCTCGGGTTATTTATCGAGAATAATTTGGGAATGGCTGGATCACTGAAATCGCCGAGGCCCCATAAACGTTTTGCCCTCTGAGAAATCTGGTGTGTATGCTTTCCCGCAGAGCGCTTGGGAGGGCCGCTCGTTGCAATCTATGCAAAAGCAAAAAAAAAAAAAAATACAGGAAGTTTGGCAGTTGTTAAATCTCAGTTTTTTTTCTTTCTATATTAAAAAAAAGAAGTATTCACCTGACCTAATCTTTGTTTCGACACAATTATCTAAAACATGTTCCACGTAAACTATGCGTGACATAACCGTGACCAGCCTTCGGCAGCAACGTGTCTTTTTCTCGCATGCTACTTCGTGTGTTGAGTTCACTTGTAATACTCGCCTGCCACGGTGAATTACTCCCGCCTGGCGGGCTGCGATTCTTATTCGTTAGCTGGGCCTTAAGACGAAATTGTCTTTCCGATGGAATATTTTAGACTTAATCCGATGAATCCAATCAAGCAGCGCCAAAAGTGCCTCGTCACTGGGCTCGTCGTTTTTCTGCGTCCGCTATCAACGGCTGAACCGATCACGCACCAACAAAAACGGCAGGATGATGGGGGTATATCCACTGTGATTGGCTTAGCCGGTGACATAGCAAACGCACAAACACGAATAGTGACGTGACGATGCACTTTTGGTGCTGCTTGATTGACTCCATCGGAACACAGCGCCGGCTGCACTCGGTCTGAGTGCGAAACAAAAGTATATGCGGAGCGCAAGTTCGTCTGCTTCTTTTGCATGGGTTGAGCTCTGATTGGCTTTGATTGGAGGATAGTGGGTAGACCTCGAGGGCAGCTTGCTTCGGGGTCTACCATTATTCTTCCAATCAGAGCCAATCAGAACTCAACCCCCGCAAAAGAAGCGGACGAACTTGCGCTCCTAGGGACGTGCGACACCTGAAAGGGGCGCGCCGATCCAACTGATGTGCACGCCCAAGGACTCTACTGGGAGCCGCACCGCCGCGCCACCGTCTCATCGCACGCTTCCCGTTATCACTCAGCAGCCAATCAGATTGTGACGTTACTCCTTATGAAGGCCGAAGAAGTAATCAGGCAGAGGTATGAACATAATAGGCCCTAGCCATTCTTCCCTTGTCAGTGGCAGGGGTTTTACACTCTAAAAAAAAGTCTGCGCGTCTACTTTCACGCACAACACTCGGAGAGCCAATCAGCGCAACTTACGGAGGCAGCTCAGCGAATGACGATGCCGAAACATATGTTTAGACCAAAAAACGCAGTCTGAGTTGTGACATTAAGCAGTGCAAAACGTCACGCTTGCATTGCTCAATGTCACAACTCGGACTGCGTTTTTTGTTGTAA